CTCTTGGCACATCTCCCACCCCCTTTTTTGTTAGAGACTCCATTCTTTTTATTTAATCATTTTATTGGGGGCTCATACAACTCTTATCACAATCCATACATACATCAATTGTGTGAAGCACATTTGTACATTTGTTGCCCTCATCATTCTCAAAACATTTGCTCTCCACTTAAGCCCCTGGCATCAGCTCCTCAGGGCAGGGACGCAGGGTGGAGACCCAGTGGGGACTGAGGTAAATGGGAAAGTGCATCAGCCTTCTGAGAAGGGGCTGTGACTCTTCAGCCGCAGTCACAGTGGAACTTAGGCTGGGCGGGTTCTCGGACATTTCTAGAAGAGCTGGAAATTAAGACTTTGGACAAGATCATCTGATGTACACACACTGGCAATGGGCTAATAAAATTCACTTTAATATTTCTGCTGGCCAAAACAACCCACCTCATTTCCACCACCTAAAAAGGGCAATCAATTGGCAAACAGGAAAAACAAATGCTCAGGAAACAAATGCTCAGGCTGTGGTTGTGGGCTTGCAATCCCAAATGCCCTTATTAGGATTTATCAGAGCAAGGTCTCTCTTGAAGTCACCCAGCCTGGTAGCTCTTGGGAGGCCAACCCCTAAAATGTCTATATCAGAACTCCAACGATGACCATGACGACGAGGGAAGGCGGGTTAGAGGAATAGGCATTCCTGGGCCTCAGCAGCTGGGTCTCAGGACTCTGCACCTGGGCAGGGTCGGAGCATCCATGAGTTTGCATAGCTCCCCAGGTACCTGGGAGGTCCCACCAGGCCTGTTCCCAGTAGGGAATTTCCAACCATCTGCCATGATTCCATTCCCTTGAGGTTCTTTTTAAAAACACAGCTTCCCTATCCTGTTTCCTGGACATGCTGACTCAGTGGGTCTGGGATGGGCTTTGGGAATCGGTTTCTGACAAATACCTCTGTGATTTGTATCTGGGAAGTCTGGCACGCTATGGCCCACATGTCCTCCTGAAGCTCGGAGGCAGGAAAACTTGCCCAAAGCCACACTGCAACACCCCCACCCCCACCCCCGCCCCCAGCCCATTGATCTCCTGAGATGCTTCTGACCATCTCTGTGCCCTGTTGGCCACCAGCCCAGTAGGGCAGAGGTGAGCAGTGCTGGTGAGGGGATGACCTCTGCAGAGTGGGGACACTGCCGGATGGACGCAGACTGGAGGGCGGGCCGACTTTCTGGCCCAGACAGAGCCTCGGGCTGGGGCGTGGCTTCCCTTCCGTTCCTGCCTGTCGCCCTGAGAATCCAGTGGGAACTCTGCAGGGGATCCAGACAGCGTGTGGGCCCGAGGGTTCATTGTCATGAGCAGCCAGGATCCCAGAGCTGAGTCCCCACCAACTCAGTCTAGGACAGGGAGAAACCACAGAGCCGCCAGATTCAGAACTGGGCACCTCAGACAGACTGGGAACTGCAGCAATGGGCGGGGCATGAAGGAGGCACCGCTTTCTTCCTCCACTTCTTGCGAGGGCGGTGCAGTCAGTTTCAACTCAAAGCAGCTCTGTGCACAACAGAATGGAACACCGCCCAATCCTGCACGGCCCTCACTGTTACGTTTGAGCTCATGGCTGTAGGCACTGTGTCAGCCCATCTGTTTTTGGGGGGGCGGGGGTGTCTTCCTCTTTTCACCAGCCACCTCCCTTACCAAGCACCATGTCCTTTTGCAGGAACTTGGTTTCTCCTGATCGTTTATGTCCAGAGCACGTGAGGTGAAGGCTTGACACCCTTGCTTCTAAGGAGCTTTCTGGCTGTCGTGGAAGAAAGACAGTCAGAAAGCTGCCTTCTGGCAGTCCCTGGTACTTTCAATATTCTTTGCCGACACCATACTTCAAATGCACCAGTTCTTCCAAAGTCTTTCCTCGTCATTGTCCAACTTTCACATGCATCCCAGACCACCGGAAACGCCTGCTGCTTGGGCCAGGAGCACCTGAGCCCTCAAAGTGGCCTCTTTGCTCTTTCACACTGGAAAGAGGCGTTGTGCCACAGATATGCGAGATGCCGCTTGCTGTGTGATCTCCAGACTGTAGCTCCGTGAGCACTGATTGTGGATCGGAGTGAAATGCACTTCTTGACAAGTCAGTCTTCTATCGTGATGTGATCTGTTGATCCAGGTGTGAGGATTTGGGGTTTCTTTACCCTACCGAAGGCTGCATTCTTTGATCTTCATCTGCTGCAGGTCCACCTCACTTTCAGCCGGCCAGGTTGGGCCACCTGCAGGTGGCAGGTTGTTAATAAGCTGGACTCCTTGTTTTTCCTGGGGATCGGCTGATGGGTTTAAACCTGTAAGTTTTCTGCCGAGTGCTTTAGCCGCCGAGCCACCAGGGCTCCCGGGAGAAGATGGCATCTTCAAGCTCTCCTCTAAGTGAAATCGAGCATCTCCTTCCATGGTGCACTCACCGAACAAATTGCCGTGGTGGTAGGGGCAGCCGTGACCTTGCAACCACCAGGAGAAAACCAAATTGTTTTCTTCTGATTTCAAAGGTATCAGAGTTGTTGCATTTGTCATTAGATACGTTAGAAAAGCTCATCTTTCTAAACGCCGCTTTAAAAAATATATTAAAACATTTTTTAATTGTGTTAAATATACACAAGGGGGCTTCAAAATATTTCCTGGAAAAGATCCATTTTCATCCCATTTCCCCCACGGACTTTCCGAAGCTGCCTCGCGTATGTCACAAGACGCCAGGCAGTGGACACCTGCACGTTCTGTGCCGTGACTTATGTCCATCAGGTTGTTCAACCATCAGCCTGATCCGCCCTCCAATTGTGGCATCTCCCCTAACGACACCCGACGTCTCCAGGTTCTTCCTGGGCCCTCCTTCGCCCCTCCCTCTTGCCCACCCGTTGGCAACTGAAAATCATATGTTGGTAGTGTGTATTTCAGTATCATCCACTGCCTTGCTCTGCCTGTGCATTTTGTTGATGGCTTTTACAAGCCTTCTGAGAAGGAAGACCAGGCACAACCGTGCGTGCTGTCATCCGCTCGACTGGGTGTAAAGCCTACAAACTGGTTCACTACAGAATGGAAAGCAAACACAAGTGAGCCTGCACGCCCCTGGCTCACAGGGCTCTTTGTCCCTGTCAGGGATTGCACACTTGAAGAGGTGTTCATACTTCAGGAAGGTGCTGGGGCACTGGGAGACCAGGAATCAAAATCTTGGATGCTGTGAAGAAAAAGTGAAACTGTTCACCACAGACTAGTGAAGTGAGCCTGTGCGTGCTGTGCTTACTGAGCACCCCTGGGGGCCCCGGGCGCTAGTTATTGGGCTCCTACCTGCCAGGCCAGTCGTTTAAACCCACCAACTGCTCAGTGGGAGAAAGATGAGGCTGGCTGCACCCTTAAAAGTGTACAGCGTCAGAAACCCGACAGAGGGGCTCCTGTGAGTCAGAACTGACTCCTGGGTAGTGGGTTTGGGTTTTTTGGTTTTGCCTTGCTTACTGGGTAACACAACACTGCGCATTCTGCAGATTCACTTAGCAGCTATTTACCGAGCAGTGACTAGTTGGCAGGCACTTTGCTAGTATTGACCAAAACCAAACTCACTGCCATTGAGTCGATGCCGACTCATAGTGGCCCTATAGGTAGAGCTGTCTCTGTGTGTTTCACAGACTGTAACTTTATGGGCGTAAAACATGCCGTCTTTCTCCCACACAGCGGCTGGAGGTTTCAAACTACTGACGCAACCCAGCTTGACACCACTGCGCCACTAGGGCTCTCCCTGGCACTCGCAGTCATCAAAAACAAACAAACAAACAAAACAAAGACTTGGAGGCTTCTCGCTCTCCTTGGGAGAGGGAGTAAGCAGACAGATAGAAGAAATAATAAACCCAGGATGAGCTGAATGTCAGATGGCGCAAGGAATGGGGAACACAGAGTCTCAAGTAGCAGTTACAGTGCTCAAGTAACATGGTCAGGGCAAGCCTCCCTAAGAGGGAGACTGGACTTGAGGTGCGTGGGGTCAGCCGTGGGGATGTGTGATGGAGAGTCCCAGGCAGAAGCGACAAGAGTGCACAACTCCTCACGGGTCCTGCGGCCGGAGGAGCATCAAGAGGCCCAGTGGGTAGAATGAAGGAACGAAGGGCAGAGTCAAGGACTGAATAGTGTTCCCCTTTCAAAAAAAAAGAATATATGTCAACTTGGCTAATTTTTCAGTGGTTTGGGCAGTTATGTAATTATATAATTTGGTGGTTACATAATGCTTCAGTCATCCCCACGGTGTGATCTGATGTGACCAGCCAAACACTTGTAAGGAAATGACACTCTTGCTTGCGTTATAGCCCTGATCTGACCTAAGGAGAGTTTCCTTGGGAACCGCAGGAGCGAAAAGGAGAGAGAATGAGCAGAGAAAGAGGGACCTAACTGGTCCCAAGAAACAGGAGCTGAGAATGGCGTGTGTCCCTTGGACCCAGGGTCCCTGTGTCTTCTGGATTCAGAGGAGGATTGATGTCAAGACACATGGAGATCTCCAGGCACACTGGGCTCTCAGGCCTTGAAAGGAGACAGGGCCTTCTCCCAGAGCCCACAGAGAGAGGAGTCCTAGAGCTGGCACCTTGAATTTGGACTCCCAGGTGTCCTAACCTGTGAGAAAATAAGTCTGTTTGTTAAAGTCGCCCACTTGTGGTACTCCTAGGATAACGAAGACGGAGCACAGACTATGCGTCGCTGAAAGCTTGGAGCTTCAGACCCACCGAGCTGCTTGGGAAGAAAGGCCTGGTTGGTGATGGAGCCCGGCTTTCCTCCGTGCCAGCCAACAATGACGCAGGAGTGGGGTGGGCAGCCGTAGAAGCAGGGTCATCTGTTAGTAACCCGGATGGAGAAACGGATGCCCAGAGATGGGCTGCCAGAGTTAGGGAGCCCTGGCGGAACCCGGCTCTGACTCCCCCACCCTGCACCCTAAGCCCTGATCCTGGAGACCAGTGTGCTTTATCTACTGTGTCCAGCACTGACCAAGGCCCCCTCTTCTTTTCTCGCAGGTCCCACCTCTGAGAACTGGGTGGCTTTGGATGTCGTGCACCCGGTGCGCGTGGACGCAGGGGGCTCCTTCCTGTCCTATGAGCTGTGGCCGCGCACCCTGCGCAAGCGGGACTTGTTCGCGCAGCCCAGCGCTCCAGCCTTCTATGAACTGCTGTACCAGGGACGAGAGCTGCGCTTCAACCTGAGCACCAATCCGCACCTGCTGGCACCAGGCTTCGTCACGGAGATACGGCGGGGCGGGGGCCCGGGCCGCGCGCACATCCGGGCCCATACACCTGCCTGCCACCTGCTTGGTGAGGTGCAGGACCCCGAGCTGGAGGGTGGCCTGGCAGCCATCAGTGCGTGCCATGGACTGGTGAGTACCTGGGTGTGGAGTGGGCGGGCGTAGGGGGATGGCATGCAGGGCTGCCCTCAGCTAAGTCCAGGCTTGACTGGTAGCCTTGGGCAACGTGCTTTTCCTCCTCGATGTTGGTCTCCGCTCCTGTAAAAAAAGGGGACTGAAACTCAGGCCTTGCTCGCAGACTTTCACATGAGTCAGAACCACGGCAACTGCAACTAAAACGATTTCTGAGCGGGGAGGTCTGAGCTGGTCCCCGAAATGTTGGCATTTCTGGCAAATTCCCAGAGTACGCGCCGTTGTCAGTCCAGAGGCCTTACTTCTGTGAGCACCCGTGTGTGCAGACGAGCCAGGTCTCTGGGTGATACAAATGGTCTGCCCACCTAAAGGTGGGTGCTACAGAAGAAAGTCCTGGCGCTCTGTGTCCGTCAAGGGGCCCTGTTCCTCTCATTCTGGAAGGAAACCAAACCGTGAGGAGGGAGGAGCAGTTCTTCTTCAACACCCGCGCCGAGCTTGGGGAATGATTCCGCAGGCAACAGAAGTGGTGGTCATGCGTGATTCAGAAAGCAGCTGACCGCGTCTTCCTGTGGGCTGTGCTGCTAGTTTTGACTCTGTTTGCCTGCCAACCCCTCTTAAGCTGCTCTCCTCTCGGGTGGGAGCCTTTGCCTTTTATCTTTCCTCAGCCGGTGATCAGCCACCTCTGTCAGCCCTCGGTCCCCATCAGCCACCCCTGTCGGCCCTCTGTCCCCATCAGCCACCTCTGTCACCTCCATCACCATTGGCCCCCTGCACAGTAGGCCTCCGCACGGGGCTTGGGCTGAAAGGGGCTGCTGGGGGCTGCTGACAGCCCGAGTAAACGCTCTGCCCTTGAGGACCCTGCATCAGCGGCTTCTGTCTTCCCCCGTTTTGGGTCTGCTCTGCCCTCCTGATTCTGTTGCGTGTTTGGGGAGGCACAAGGGACAAGTACACACTAGTCACAATCAGCTGTCCCCAGGAGGCCCTCAGTCTGCCATAGTTGGGACAAGGTCTCATTGGCAGCTCAGGCCAACGCCCATAGGATGTTTGGGCTTTTGGAAGCTCACCTGTCTTGGACCGCAGGGCTTATTTCAGGGATACTGACAGGGCCCGTGGATGGGTGGGTTGCCGTGGGGCAGGTCTGACCAACCAGTAGAGATGACAGCCACTGAGGGTGGCTCTGAGAGCCCTGTGGTCCACGACCCTCAGGCCGCTGCCTTGAATGCGGTTATTGAGGCTGGCCTATTTACTTGGCAGACCCCTTCTCAAATTCACTTCCTCGCCACCTTCTCTGCCCTGCTTTGGCATCTTGTATTGAGTGAAGACATGCCTTGCAGCTGCAATCTTTGTGGCCGGGGTCAGCCAAACACCTGTGCAGCCTCTCATCTCCTTCAGAGGGGATCCCTGACTAAGGGAGAGGGTGCAAATGCCCCAGACACTGGAGGCTTGGAGGTTTTGGGGCTGAAGCCCAAGCTCCAAAGGGGCTTGCTGTTCCTCCAGGCATGGGAGACTCACCCCCTGCCCTCGTCCCCCCATTTGCTGCAGCCCACTTTCTTTCTAGCTATGTGGCCCTGGGCAGGTTACTCCCCCTCTCGGAGCCTCAGTTTCCTCATCTGTAAAATGAGGCAAACAAACAGTAGTACTTGTGCTACTTACATAGCCGAACCCAAGCGCTAGGTGCCATCAGGTTGATGCTGACTCACAACGACCCTATCCGACAAGGAAGAACTGCCCCTGGGGGACCCAGACTGCCCCTCTTTGCGGGAGTAGGAAGTCCTGGTTTTCTGCTGCTGACATCTTAGGTATTTACCGTGTCTTAGCTTTTCCACACACGCCAAGCTCATTCATCCCTCCCTTGAGGGCCTTTTCCCAAGCTGCTCCCTCTGCCTAGAATGTTCTTTTCCCAGACCTCCACCTGGTGTCTTCCCGGTCAGACATCGGCATAAGCATCACCTCCTCAGAA